ACTCAACCATTGTTGCTTGCCACTGTTTGCCGAGGGAACTGTATTAAACTACCCCTTACGGATTTGAGTGAGGAGACCTGCTACGAGAATTAACTTGCAAGCTTAGCATCAAACGTTTTTCGGAAATGGAATGATCTGTGTGGACATCTGTGTAGAAAGCAACTCTATTAAAGGTTGTGGGATATGTTATGGATTTTTTTATTATTGGGATATTAGTCCATTTGTTTCAACAACATAGTACGTAATTCAAAATTGTTTAAGTTTTGTTAAAATCTCTTCACCAACAAAACTGGTTAGGTACTTTATTGCTAATATACCTAGTCTTGAAAAAAAGGAGTTACGTGAAATTATGATTGAGCGGATTATACAAATGCAAGACTTCATTCGTCGTAATGTTATTGAAACAAGCCGAGAATAGAATGTAATCCATTATATTTACACATTTGTTTGAAAGACTTGTCTGCGTTACGTTAATGAATAATGAAGAACAACAAATGACTAGCTTTTTGGTTGTAAAAAATCTTGTAGAATTATGGACAATAGAATTGGTTGTTCACTTTAAAATATGGAAAAAAACATATCTTAAGAAATTAATAATAATACTTAAGTAAAGGTATGTAAGGTATAAGGTATACGTATGTTGAATTATTGATATACCAGTGGTATACTTAAACTAATGCCTTTGCATCACCTCTATTATATTAAAACGAACTGCTTCCTATGCAATAACTTTCAACTGAACTGATTTATTTTAAACACTAATTCCTGCTTACAGTTAGGTAGTAAGACTACATTGATTCTAAAATTAGTTTGTTTTACTATTACTGACGTAAAACAGTAATTCCATTTCATTAGCTGCTGACTTAAAATACTGTGAAGGTATTGCCAAAAACCTTTAAGTAGTTACTGCACCCGACAAGGTCATAAGTATTTACTATTCGATGACTTATTTTAATGTTTTCTTGTAAATAATTACGTGCAAAATTAAAGGTAATAAAGCTAATTAGTTTGGCATCACTCAGGGCAGTAAACGTCTAATTTATCAGTCTCATCAACACATCGCTTGACAGATACTCCGGCCAACTTTGTAGATTTTATTAAAAAGTTTAATGTATGTCTGTAAGCACTCATTGCAACTAAAACTTCATGATTTATGAACATTATTTTGGTATGTACTAAAAAAACAACAATTTTCTACTGACAACAACACCAAGTGAAAATGTGCCATAAGATCTTTCTTCTTATACCTAATTCGAAAGAAAGAAAAACATTTATTCAGCACCAGACACAATGCAGCATAAATAAAATATAAAAAAGACAATAAAGGTGTGACAGTGGAAGTAATAAAAACATCAAGTTGAAAAATTAAAACAGAAGAATTAGAAGAGAGACGCTGACAACATGCCTATGCTAAAAGGATCATCCACTCAGTGTAAGCCAGGCATACAAGTCACCCAGCACTGATTTTCAGTGAGCACCCATGCAGTGACGCACGGATGGTAGCATGTACTTATATTTCATGTGAAATGTGTAGTGTCCTTTCTTGTAGCCATTGCATTGGAAGAGCACATCTATAGATATAAAAATGAATGTTAGTTTATTAGTCTCGCTAAAATTCAAGAACAGCAGAACAGTTTTAGCTAATTTTGGCCTTGCAAAATTCGTGGGAGTTTTTTAGGCAGTACGAAGTACGAATTTATATATTATACCAATTTAATATAAAAAATCATTTCTTTCCATAGGCACATGGATCACCATATCAATGTTCTATTAATTTACGACAAAGAATATCGTATTGATTTTACGATAATTACAATTCATTGTATGGTCACGTATCTTATGGGCTGTGCATCTGCAGCGCGGGAGCACTTGTGTTTAATTACATTTGCCGGCAGCACCTCGCGCGCCGCCCTCTCGCCGCTCAATTCGGTTCATTTGCAAAGTGCATTTCGATGCTGTGCTCGATTGTCCCAACTACCTACCCTTAATTGCCCGGCCGATATTTATTATTGCCGTTTGTTTGTACATTTACGTGCCCACTGTACATCGAAAACCATTTGATTTACGAGTACAAAACTCCACTCGTTAATTCGTTTCGAGGGATCACCTGCACACAATCATTTTATGGCCCATATCGGTAGAAAAGTTGAGCGAAATATTTACATTAGGGGCACGCATCACATTCGATAAACATCGCAACGAATTCCTACAAACACATCGGCGGACGTTTATTTGCCTCGGGCATACGCTCGGCTTCACTTCGACTTCACATTCCGCTCGCCGTCGTATCGGTACTCATTTGTATTGGCGGCGGCTTTTGTATTATTTGTTTGTTTGCGGATGCCGCATACGTTGTGGGAGCTTTGATTTTTTCCAATTCGGAAATAATGCGGAAGGCGTGGTGCTGGGGGCGATCGGGCTCGCCGTGATTCCGGCTCCAATCAGCCGAGCCGTGTGTTCGTTAGTCGCCAGCGCCGGCGAGCCTTGCCGCTTGGTTAGGCCGGGCACGTATCTACGTGGGACCTTTCCACTCCGCAGCACTGATTTTCTCTTAGATCCGACGAAATGATGAACTTCAGCAATCTTCGACTTCATTTGTTGAACAAATCTACCGCGTAATACTACACGTGCACTTGATTTCTCTGTTTAGGTTGGATTGTAGTATATTTCATATTTGATTCGTTATTTCACTAAATCAAGAAGTGGATCTGAAAATATATTCAAAAATTTCAAAACTAGGTAACTAGGTTTGGAGAGCAATGTACACCAATAAGCAAATCTTAAAATGAGGAAGCGTAAGGACTATTATTAGAGTAAGAGACATCCATTTTGAGATTAAGATTTAGTAAGTAAATTTATTTATTTATTCAATAGGTACACAAAACAAAAACACAGCGCAATACACAACAGAGTAACAACATAAACTGTAAATGTCTGACCATGCTTCCACAAGTATGTGCACACAACATGACATGCAACGACTAGTATTTATTTATTAATAATAATTTATAATGAATTATAATGCAGAACGAAATTAGAGATAAATGATAATAATAAAGAAAACTAAAGATGAAATTTAACAATATATACATTATTCAATATTATCAAACAGAGCAAATAACAATTTCCTAATAATATTTTTAAATTTGTGAAGCGAGGTATTGTGGATATCAGGCATGCCCATGTCACTCGAGAGTAGCTCGTTGTACTTGCGACTTGTTGTAAAAATGCTTAATGTAAGTGCTATATACACATAGTAAACAATATCATGATGAAATAATATGATGATATTGTTTACTATGTGTAGTTGATGTAACTACAAAGCTTAATAATGACCTATATTCAAAACCGTCTGCTGTAAATACAGTTATAGACAAACAAATTGCATTATGATCCTTTTTAGCAGTTGAAATAATGAGTCGGTATAAATTATTCTGCACCTACGTTATTTTTAATATAAGTTTACTTTAGGGACTGCAGTGAACCTTGTCGAGTGTGTGGTCGCCTTGTTGGCGCGAACGTCTTGTAAATCATAATGATGTGTATGAAAGGTAACGTTTGTTGGTCGGCGCGCGGGCCGCATCATTACATTAGTTCTATAACGAGATCAAGCGGCGTCAATATGTCATGTATGACATGACGTGGCCCTCGCTGCAGCGCGGTGACACGCGGATGTGCTGCGCTCTCCAGCCGCCACCTGTGCACACACTGACATACGACCATCTACCTACATGAGACAAAAGTAGAATCCATACATCTTGTTCCAATGTCAATGATACATGCTTTGCAGTTAGTCACACCACATGTTTGCCACTACTGGATTCCTTACACATAGGAAAAGTGTCATAGTATCTGTCTATATATTAATAGAGTAGCAGTCCAGCTTTGGGAATCTTCCGACATAGTTCTAGTAAAACAGTAATAAAGTATTCGAAATGTTTCTAGAACACAAGCAGGTCATTAACGTTTGTCATGATCACTGCCAAGGAGAATTTACGTAGAAATATGTAGGCGGCGAGTAATTATTAATATTTGTTTGTGTTCATCATAATAAACCAATTAGCAAGAACCAAGTTTATGTTGACTCGTGAAGTCTCTGAAGTCACACGAAGAGCGTAGGGGTACATAGCAACTACTTAAAAATAAGACTAATTTTGTAATTTTTTTAAGACCTTAACATTCATGGCTTCTAATAACTCTGTTATTTAAAAACTGATGCAGAGAATTAACGGCAGTGTTACGTTTCAATACATAGTAAACCAACTAATTAGGATCGTGTATGCATTACCGTGTAATTAAGCAATGTACCAGTCAATCTCAGCGATAGCAATGAAATGAAGAAATATGTATAAAGGTGAGCAAACATCATCAGCGAACTGCGATGTTCAAACAATGGTGCGTGTGATTGTGCAGGTCACAGAGTAGGCGGGGCGGGAGCGGGCGCGGCCGCGTATGTCGACCGAATATTTTTTACTCTGTGCTCAATCAGCGCCAGTGGCAGTTGCAATTATCTTTCGCACCAAATCGAATTATGATCAATTCGGATTTGCGCGCATCCGAACGAATATAAAACGGTTTGCATTAAAATTTGGCGCTCGATGCATGGGATGCGTTCCCATTAGTCCGGTCGAGCGCTAACTTTGTTTGCTCATTCGTGCCCACGTCCGTTCCTGGCGTTTTCATTATATTTTTATTGTACGTTTTCGGTTTTGTTTACGATGCTTTTTGCTTCATTGCTGTTCGGATTTTAATTATGAGTATACCTGTTATCTGTTGGTGGTAGATAAACAAATCGTTAATCGGCGTGTATTATATTAAGAAGTTTGCACATAACCATTCCCTAGATCTATGTATTGTATGTAAATACATATATATTTTCTGGTCAAGTCTACAAGCTTGGGTAATTTGGAACTCAGACATCGGCTAAATCTCTAAACTCATTACCACCTCTCGGAAGTCTTCAAGCGCGATGATCTTAATAGAGTAATTCATACTTTCAGGTGTGGTTCCAAAACCGGCGAGCAAAGTTTCGCAAGCAGGAGCGCTTAGCTCAACAGAAGGCGGGGGAGGCACCTGTGAAGGCGGAGGGCAAGAGAGACAAGCCGACGTCGCCCGCAGCATCGCCCCACCCGCCGGCAGCGCCCGCGCCGCAACCCGCACACCACGCATTACCGCATCTATCACCACCTGACCTCAAGCCCATCACGTCAGCAGGTAGATATCGTAAGTGGTTCATTATTTAAAAATCTCACTACATAGCCAATTCCAATTTTCTATTGAAATGCGTCTACTTATGACACATTGTCTAACAACGTTGTCAAAGAATTTCAAAATGAAATTGCATTGTAAGTAGTTTGTACAAATGAAAGTTGTGATTGAAAAATTGGTTTTGTGACAATGAAACAATGTTTTGTAAATATTTTGATTAGACATCATTCAACACGAGCAGCTTCAGAAATAATTAATCTTCACAAAGATTGTGTGTCTTGATCTCTTGCCAAGAATGGCTTTAAAATTGTTTATATCTTTTAGGTATCTACAGTTTAGGGTATAATAGCTATTGATGGTTTTGCAAACAATATTTCCATCTGGACTCCAGGTCCTGAAGCAAAGTATTACGCTTTCAATGTCGAGTTTTACGGTACGGTACGGTGCATATAAGTGAACCACCCATGACATAATACATTATTGCACTATAAGACTCCTTTACATCATCTCACGTTTGATGGGCGATTTGTAGGTTGCAGTTTAAAATCTGAAATCGCCGTTGCACAGTCTCTGTCAAGTAGTGAGCACATGCGCGAAATGGTCATTACAAAATATCTCCCGTCAAACCATGTTTGTCAAGTATGAATATGTACATACTGTGAAAACAGTTTTAGGATATTACTAAAGAAAGTATAATAAACCATTTTTTGTCTGGCATACCAGTGGTAGTGACGCGAACGCAATGTTTACCTTACTCCCGGAGATGCTGACGTCACGGCCCGATTTAGAAGATTACAACATTAAGTCACATTTGATCGACTATTCTTGTAGGGGCATGTCGATGGATACTTTGTTTTTATTTCTGAAATACGGATAAATTGTGACGTAAAGCGTATCTATTGTGTTTACTTGAGTCAGGCATACTATATCCCGAAAATTAAGAAAAAAAATGTAACAATATCAAAAAATAATTGATTATAATTTGTTCATACAATTATCAATAAATAATGCGTTATTCTGTTCACAGTTTTATGGTATTTACTACATATTTACTACATTTACTACACACATGAACCTTATATTTTCATATCTCTTTGTTTCACCAATGGGTACACTATTACACAGACATTAATTACTAATAGTGTAGTAGTAGTATCTTACAGTGGTTAATCTTCAGAAACTTGTGAAAGACGGTTCCCTGATACATAAGTTGAGCACATACTCAAAGACAGCATGAACACAACTCACAGTCAACCAGTTATTTTTCTTAGTTTTATTTGTTTCAGCTATTTAAAATATTGATTCATTACATTTTACATAAGTAGAAAAAGTAGAATGAATTATTACTAGCTGCCCTGGACTTTCACGTACATTTCGACATGAAAATTAGCCAAATCAGTTCAGTCGTTCTCGAGTTTTAGCGAGACTAACGAACGGAAATTCATTTTTATTTATATAGATTTATAGTAGGAATAAAAAAACGAAGGAACTCTGAGAGATTTACAAGTAATGTTAACAGTTTTTTCAAATTGCAACGTGAGTACAGTTGAATAAATTAGTTCGTTAATATGGCCGCTTGACATTTAGTATCCGACATTTAGAAATGTTCGTGTGAATCCCAATTTAATAATATCAATTGCGCGAAAATTTTTACGTTTTATGTTTTGTCTTCAACGTTACTCAGTGTTTATTTCGGTTATTTTTTGGCAACCATAGATTGAAATGTACCTTTTTATTCGAATGAAGTAAATAATGATCTGCTTCAGGATACAAGATGTCAACTTTTGTTACTAATTGATGGTAGGTTTTAAATTAATGAGAACATGTAAAAGTTTAAAAGTGCTGAAGCTTTCTCGGAAACAAACGACAAATAAAATAACACTTAGGTAATACCTACGTCTCAACGCTTCGTCTCATTTAGATAGATTAATTACTTACAACGTACTTTGTAGCTAAGGATATAAATCATAGAATATACTGATTTAACTTTGAGAAATTTTAAACTGTTTTCGAGAAAATATATAACATATCTTGTTTTTCTATAGGATATTTTCGTTCCAATCGTGATGTCACGAAATATTTTTGGGCAACATATCTTTCCAATGTTACATTGATCGTTGAAATTATAGCCGAGTGAGTCATAGTGGTCGACCAATCAGAGAACTGGACGCACTATTTCAGCTCACATGTTTACGTGGGCGAATACAACAAGGCTGCTTTCGACAAAATATATACAGCACTTCGAATTAGTGGATCTTAAATATAGAACGGTGATTGTATTGTATGGTTATTAATACAATGCTGCACGCCTTAGGAATGTGGACCGAAAACGTAGAAACTTGTTCTAATTTCCATAAAAAATGGTTTGTTAATTCTTCCATACGTCAATATCATATTCTATTACTCTTAAAAGGATTTCTAATCTCTTTATTAATGTTTAGTAACAATACTGGCAATAGTTTAGTTTCCATTACGTTTATATTATTTTCCCCACCAGTTCAACCGGTTAACCGGGTCGTAAATAAATAAACATATATAACGGTATACATTTAAAGAACATGTAACGTTGATTATTCTATTAAATGTTTCATACTACATAAAAAATTTTTTCGTAAAAATAAAAATGCAGTCGTATTTGTCCATCCATATGTGCGGAGCTTTACAGTGAGCGCAAGACCAATTTACCATGAACTTGGTATTGGTTTAGATAAACAAGTCTGCTACATCTCTCAACAGAAATAGAACCTGTATAAATCGTATGTTACTGCTGTAAAAGATTATTTTATCAAATCACTTTAGATTTTTTGGTGCAATAGTCTGCACAATGTTAGATCACTCATCTGGAAGTTGTATTCTAAAACATTGGTATTTGGGACAAGGTCCATATTCCTGTGACCACGGTCAACTTATCACGTGACCTACTATCTATACGTAGATACAGAGCGCTAGATTCGAACCAACTACTAAAATCAAGACAGGCAAATAAGATTTAACTAACCATGTAAAGCCTTTCATGACTAAACCATATTAAGTCAGATATGAACATAAAAGCAAGATTTATGCAGATGTGATCATCATCCGGGGTTGTATAGGCCGAACTAGGCACAGTGGTTTACCGGCTAATGGCGGACTTGTGGTCGTATTAATCACATTACGCCAGCCGCCGCCACCGCGCCAGATTTTCACTTCGGCTCATTTGCGCTAATTGTGCGCGCGATTGTCACTCAGGCTTGAATAAACAACGGAGCCGCGCAGCAAGGATTAGGTGATTAGCGCTTAATTGTGTTACCACGATTATTTCATGTTCGCCCGTCGAGCTGCAGTCTGATTTCATATTCGGGCAGATTTGTGTGCACAAGTTTTGCTTGTTTAGATTGAGTCGTAAGATTACCACCCTCGGTTTCTATTTCTACCTCTATATATAGTATAGGTTATCGATGCTAGGCTTCCAACGACTATTGTGTTAAATGGACCTGAAGATATTGAATATTATTTGTTTATACAGGGTTCTAGTTTGTTTACGAGTAAAACAGTTATGCTAATGATATGTTTATGTGTTGTGCAGCAAACAAATTGTGCGAGGAGCTGAACGGCGTGGGGGGCGACGTAGGCTTGCCGCCCGTGAGTGGCAGCGGCGGTGGCAAGTGGACCGGCGGCTGCGGGCTGCTGCGTCAGCCCTCGGGCTTCCCACTCCTCGGTGTCGCGCCACCCAATTACCTACTGTCGGACCACCTCGGAACCCTCGCCAAATCGAACAACCATCTTTTCTAATGGGCGTAACATCGTCGCCCTGAGTCACCGTCCGTGGCGCGTCGACGAGTCCACGGGGAGCGAGCCGCTGTTTCGCCCGCACCGCGACCAACCCGCTCTCTGCACCCACAACACTTGCATTTCATTAACATTCCTCGTTACATTGTGCCAAGTGAAGACTTTACAAAGTGATATCTAAAAGACGAGATTTTGATCGTGTGTAAAACATTCAAGTGCCAATTCGTGTCCATTAAAGTATGTATTGTCGCAATAATGACAAACGGTCTAAATCAATTTTTAGATGTATTTATTGTAACAAAGCAGTTGATCGTACTACAAGTTGCCTGTTATATGTACACGGGTGTTTAGTTTTAGATAGTTTACGGTAATGAAGATTTTGTGTGATACGATTGTAAATAACATTCCGATTGTATACGTTTAATAAAGGTATACTGGTTCAGTGAACTATTGAAGTAAACGAATATTATGTCATTTTAAATGTTGTCCTATGAAGTTATGGTGTATTTTATTCGTCGATACCTAAATGAAATAATGAAATGTAATTAGTACTTAATTCAATCGCAGTTTGAAATATTTCCACGAACTGTTACGAGATTGTGTCTTTGTATTTATTCTAGTCAGAATGAAATTAGTTTATTTTAAAGCAGATAAATGATTATTTATTGATTAAGAGTATAGGTAATTAGTTCTATATATTAGCCAACAACCTGGTGTTGGCTGTGAGCGATGTAAATATGTAACAAATTATTTGTAAATACTAGATATAATAGTGGTGTACCCGAGTGTATGTAATTATTGATGAATTTGTGGAGGGTGTTTTAATAAAGCAAACAATAAATCGTGTTACTTTGTTTCTATTGACTACCTTGTGTCTGATTTATACACTATTTAGGAACTCAATCGTTTACAAAATCAATATTGGTTTTTTAAATTAGTCTTTGCTTTATATACAAAGCCCTTAACATAAGTCCATAACGATATTGCAAACAATTTTATTTAACTACAGATAGCTAAATCATCAGCGTAATACAGATATTACGCTGATGATTTAGTTTTAGGTCTATTGTCGTGAATATTAAGAAGATATCTTGCGTAAACATTATGTTCCGAATTACCTGCACAATGAACCACACTTCCCTCAAAGCCGTACTGTTTACAAATTGTATGAGTTGTTTATTTAAATTTAGGTCAACATACAATGCTCCAAGCGATTTCGGTCCTTGACATATTTTGTTTGTTGATCATTTCCGTTTTCAATTCTTTGAAGACATTCATGTGAATGAATTTTGTGAACAAACCAAAAATATTTACAATATTATAAATTAGATAACTAACATACGAAACTTATTCAGATTACCCTAAAAAGTTAAATTACAAAACCTTCTAGACACACCTCAGACTTTTAAGTTTTTCAAAGCAAAGTAAAAGCCGTTCCTCAATCCCTTGAAAATCTATAAAATACTTATACTTTACACACAAATTTCTAGAATAATCACAGACATACACAACTGAAAATAACACAGTTAGAGCACCAATGCCCTTGGTTTCACAGCAGTTGAGGTCAGTGGAGTACAAGACCGACCTTCTAGATGGAGATCATCGGAGAAAAAACCCATCCTGCAAATAAAGTACCTAAGTATTTATTCGTCATGCCATAACTACGAGTGATGTGCCTTGAGTCCGGTTATAGGCCAAACGACCTTCGACGAAGGGCCGACGCACTCTCTTCTAAAATGAAAACGACATTGTTTTTTCTGTAGACGGTTCTAGCTAAAATATTACTGTAGATATACGTAAACAAGAAAAACGCCGCCTCGGATGTCTGCGTAGATTTTGAGTAATTACGAAATGATTTACGCTGGTATTTATAGTTTTATGGGCTATTTACGAACTGAGTTCGCTGTTCATGTGCTCTGACATGCTGCTTGCGATTCTAAGAATGTTAAATTGAAATAAACTTTATTTTTTCAGTTCCAATATGAACTATTTTATAGAGTGTTCTGTGTTTTAACTGTTTCAGTAGTCGCTTGTGCGGACTTTTGGGGTCGATCTTGAGCTTTGCGAGCTTGCCAATTTTGCTATTACTAAGAACATGAAAGTGTTTGGATTTGGGTCCAATTGGCAATAAGTGGTGTCTCTGTTTACTCGTCTGCTCGCACCATGACACAACAAGATGTGTAAAAGGCCATGCCAAATATACGCCATAATATTCATTCAAACATGAATACTAGATAAATATTTGTTTAGGCATGGGAATCGTGGTCGATTTGCAGTCAATGATGACTGACCATTTCCGCAGATCAATCAGTTTTTAGAATTAATCGAGTGCCCACTTTAATGAGGAAACGTATACTGCAGCTATAATATCAGCTAAGTGTTTTTTAATAAATAAGCACGTGTAAGTATGTATTAAATGTTATACAAATTATACTTGAACTGTTCTGTAATGGTTTAACCATTTTAAATTTAATTAACATGAAATAACAAGGTTTAATATAATTATTCTTTTCAGAATTTCTTACTGAAGAATAATCTTTAGAGTTTTCTGATTTACAATTATTTCTTTGAGTTTAAGCTATGATCGAGTACTCGGAAAACCTGACTACCGATTTTCTTAATGCTTAAATCAGTTTACAACTCTTAACTAAGGGATTATTTCGCTTCGGCCTATCTGTGTAGCAAGTATTTCTTTATACGATTTTTCTTCCTTGGAACTTGGAAAACCCAGTTTTATTCTTTTTTCAAACTATAAAACCAACTATTTCGTTCAAATAATTTTAAAACAAATGCAAAATACGAATCCGTTTCGTAATGTGCGGCGAGGCGGTCTAATAAAAGCGTTGGTGCATTACATATATCGAAGATTTATGCGAGTTTTGTCTCTTCAAAAATGCATAGTGACTAACTGCATGGAATCTGCTCACCCACGTAACACGAACACGTGACAATAGTGGCAGGTGGCATAGCCAGGTCTAGCCAGATCTTTACGACACTTGGTTTAAATAATGAAGTTTACAATAAATTAAGAACTAAGGAGATTACATGTGTTACCTCGTAAAATGATTTAAAGAATGTGTAATCTATTAGAGCGTAATAAATTACATTTTTGTGTGTATGCCAATGATGAATGGATGAAAGGGCTTATGGGTAAGATATTAGGTAGTCTTGCTTGCTGTTACGGTACGCTACGATACTCCTATGGTTTTCTGGTGGAGCTTGTAAAGAATGTTTGTTTTTTTAATGCCCGAATGAACAGATGTTATGCAAAACTACTTATACACAATTAGAATGAAACCTTTATTGCCAGGAGATATTGAAAATTTCGAAAATTTAAGTCTACGAAATCCATATTTACTTCGATACAGACGTCTTACTTTGATGACGTACTGTAGCGGCAAGCAATGAGACATACCAAACCATTAAACCGTAAAATCATATCAATCATAGTGGTGTTACTACACTCTGAGATGAGTATTATAACTGAGGAATTTCCCAAAAACCGAATACCCTGGAAAATAATGCTTTGCCCCCCGCCTGGAAATCCCGCATGGTGCGGTGGCTAATGAGAGAATGTGTTCATATGTAGAGTGTAATGGTAATAATACAGGGTGTAAACGAAACGCTCCCGAAGAACTCCGACAGGTGATTGTAAAAAAGTATTGTTTTCATAAAACTTACTTTTAATTAATCTTTGTACTAAATATTTATTTTTTTTATTACCGACTTCAAAAACAGGAGGAGGTACTATGTTCGGCTGGTTGTTTTTTTTTATTTGATCACCGATTACTCCACCATTTCTGAACCGATTTCCAAAATTCTTGTTTTTTCTGAAAGGATATACTCCCGAAATGGTCCCATTTCCATGAGGTCAGGATCTGATGATGGGATCCTAGGCAAACCGAGAGGAACTTTCGAAAATTGTAGGGGTAAGTAATGCGTCTATTATGTTTTTCAATTAGGATTTTGAAACTACCATTTGATAAGTCGACCTGATGATGGAGTTGACAGACAGTTGAGGGAAACTCCTGATAGGTTAGAAGCTCATATCGTAAGGATACAACTTAATGGCCACAAAATTGTAAATTAGGTATCTATTAATACCTCTATAGATCTTAAGGTTAAGGTAAATCTAACCTTAAGGTAAAGTTAATATAGAACTTATGTCGCGGAGAACCTAACGAACGGGTAACCGGGGCTCCGGCTCGACGTGCAGGAGAAGGAACGGGGTGGTTTTTAGTCAGTAAGAGTCTGACACTCCCTTCCGCCTCACCCAGGCGGGAGCAGTCATTCCATGATTTACCCCCCTTAAAAAAAAAAATATAGAACTTATCAGTGGGTCGGTAACCTATCAGTACTAATAATAGTTAGTTTTTACTTTTTGTTTTACACGGAATAAAACGATTAAAATTGTGCAAACAATTTCTTTTTGTCAGCGTTTCGGGATTGTTCCCTTTTCACTACGTATGTCATACATAAAGTGTAAGGCGATCTAAAGTAGACGTGCAGCAACCAATGATAATTCCAGATTCCACAATCTAGTACCGCTAATATCGAAGTTGAATTATAAATTTTATGTCTGATCGTAACGATTCAAGCCAGTTATTATCGAATGCCCATGACATCGATATTTGAAGGTGTTTTAATAGTTGAACAATACATATGTATCTATTTTAATTTCCAACACATAGGTAACACACCTCGTCCAAAGCATTTCTGTGTCATAAAACTATCATCTCGTGTTCAGAATAAAATTATAAATTGCATTCTCACATCTTATATACAATGTCGTAATATCTGAATATTTTTGCGAATTGTTTATAAATAATATCAAAGCTCTTAAAATACAATTTATACAAATAGATATCGCATCATAACATCACGCTTGTTTTTTGCCGAAGAAATTGGCAGAGATATGAAATAAACGGTAAAGACAATAAAAATAACAAAAAATTGTTTTGTTTTTGTTTGTTACTACAGTAAACGTTTACTATTTATTAACTATAACGCTTTACTTTACGCTAATGGAGTAGGTATTTATTATTACCAATTATCGGCCACTGGAATGGTATCAAAAATAAAATCTACGGCAGTAATATTGCACCGTTTGTCGAGTGGTCGCAGGTGCTTCTGCCAGGCAAGGGGTCTCGGATTTGATTCCCGGGTCGAGCAAAGTATTACTGGTTTTTTTAAATCTCAATAGTAGCAAGGATTCTGGAATCCTGGCCGGTATTTGGCAATAGACTCACCCCCTATTACATGGGACTCATAGTGAAAAGTGGGTGTTACATTGTACAGTCACATTAACTCGTCGAGTACCGGTTTTGTAGACACAATTATAGAACAATAGGTTGCGGTCACCGGTGACCGCTTGGTGTTTAACAGTTTAAGCGCCATAATGTGCACCTCTGCTACTCCTTTAGGGGTAAAAGGCGTGATGTTATGTAATATCGTGATTGCACCCGTTTATAGAGTGTAAATAATGAAGACTAGAGAGTGATATTAAACAAGTCTGTCTCATATATGATCTCATTGGTTGCTACTACCCACTTGGTGGACTTTACTCATTCTGAAAAATCGGTTCATTCTAGAAGCCCTGGAGCGTGTGCAATATTGTTTCTAGGTAAAAACATTGACATGTGTCACAAGACACAATGATAAATCATTTCGCTTGTACAACTAATAAAAATACCTTTAGAAAGAAGCGTGAAGAACGCTTACCCTAATGACAAAACGCCTAGACAATATTTTTTCAAGGAGTCATTGGAAACAGATGTATTTATATATTATTTTTCATTTTCACACGTAAAGAATCCGTGTGTTTCGCG